CAAGCCGAGGCTAGATCAGCCCGCCACTGGTTGCGCCATGAGGTGCGCGCGTACTAGGCGGCTGGGAGTACAACGGCGTGTTGTTGGTTGCGTCATAGGCTGCGAGTTCGGCGGCCGAGGATACAAAGGCCGTGTTGGTTTGCGCCATGTGCTGCGCAATTCGGCGTCCGAGTACGAATAATATGCCATTGGTTGCGCCATCAGCTTCGCACTCGGCGGCCGAGAATAGAACGGCCCGCTTTCGGAGGCGACGGGCCGGTATCGTTTGCGCCATCGGTTTCGCATTCGGTGGCCGATGATACATGTGTATCCCCTTGGTTTGGATCGTGGGAGTCTAGATGACATGTCCGAGACGATTCTGGCCAAACATTTTGCAAACAATTTTTTCCTGAATTTCTGGCCGCAGTGCTGGGGCTCCGTCAGATCTCCAAAGCAGATCCCCTTGGCGAAATTCTCAAGCCAAATCTCCACCGGACTCTCCGGGAGATCTCCGGGGTTTCACTTTCCGACGAAATCTCCGGGCCATTCCGCCCGCGCGAGAATCTCCGGCGAAATCTCCGGGGTTTCCGGAGTGTTTCAGGCTTTGTTCGAATGCATTGGGATATAGGACATCTCAGTGGAAATCTCTTTCGAAATCTGTTCCGGGAGATTTCCCGGGAGATTTTCTCGGAGACATCCGAGGGGCAAGATTTTCCGGGAGATTTCCGTCGAGACTTCCAACTTGGATGACCGTGGGGATTATTAAGTGGATAGGAGGGTTACAAGTGGATGCCACGGTGGGTTATATCTGGCCCAGCCTGGCTTAGAAGTGGGTTACAAGTGCCTTAAGTAGCTTAGGGGGGTTAACGGTCCAGGCTAAGTGGGCTCCGCCCACTTAGCGGAGTTATCTAACCCCCTAAGCCATTCGGGGCGCTTGTAAACCACTTATAAGCCAGGTTGGGCCAGATATAATCCACCTTAGCATCCACGCGTAACCCCCCTATCCACTTAGAACCCCCCACGGTCATCCCAGAAGGGGCAAGATCTTCTAGGATATTTCCGAGGGGCGAATTCTCCAGGGTTTCCGGAATGTGTTAGGATTGTAAGAATGTACTGGGATGTAGGACGACATTTCAGTGGATGTCTTTTTGGAGATTTGTTCAAGGAAATTTCTTAGGAGATCTTCCGGGATATTTCCGCGGGGCATTTTTTTTGATATTTACACAAACATTTGCGGGGGGCAAAATTTCCTGGGAGATTTCCCGGGAGATTATCCGGGAGATTTCCGAGGGGCAAGATTGTCCGGGATATTTCCACGGAGATTTCCGAGGAGCAACATCTCCCAGGAGATTTTCCGGGATAGTTCCGAGAGGCAAGATTTTCCGGGATATTTTCTTCGGAGATCTCCGAAGGGCAGGATATCCCGGGAGATTTACTGGGAGATTTTCTGGAATATTTCCGAGGGGCAAGATTTGTTTTGAGATATTATTGAGTGTTGTGGGGCGTCCAAGATTTGTTTTGGAGATTCTGGTTCGATGTCATCAAGGCTCTCCCCCGATCCAACTTTTGATTGCGCCATAGGTTGCGCGCTGAGCGGGTGATAATTCAACGGCCTGTTCTTGGTTGCGCCATAAGATGCGCACTCGGGGGCCGAGACAACAACTTTTTGTTTGCGTCAGCGGGTGCGCACTCGGCGGCCAACAATAGAACGGCGTTCTCTGGCATGCGCCATGAGTTGTGCATTCGGTGGCAGATCATCAAACAGCTGGATATTTGTTGCGGTATAGGTTGCGCACTCGGCGGCCGAACATGAAACGGCCCGCTATTGGTTGCGCCATAGGTTGCGCACTCGGCGGGGCAACACACATCTCGTAGCGCGGGTGCGCAATCGATGTTCGGCCCCGCTGCGTGCTCTCGTCCCGGCACAGGACTGCAGTATTTTCGTTGCTGGTGGCCGTGGTCTCGAGGATGGCGTTTGGACGTCGGAGGTGCCAACGGGTATTCGCCGTGAGCTTTATGAGAAGGGGCCAGGATGTGCCAGGGCCGATCGGTGACAGCGGAGTCAGGGCTCTGAGAGTATTGTTGGGGCCCGCTCGTGCGCGCCTCGTGGTAACCGGTACGTCCTCGTGGCGCCTCGCTGCAGCTGGTGCAGGGAGCGCGCTCCTGCTATATGGAGGGCCCTGCGGCCGGGTCTTCTCGTGCTCGATCCACGGGGGCGCAGCCAGACCGTGCCGACGGTCACTGGGCTCATTGGGCCCGTTGCTTGGATCCGCGGGCTCCGATTCGCACCTCTGCCGATTTTTCCAGGGCGGCAGCGCAAGAGAGTGAGACACCAGAGTCGGCGGGGCACTGCCATTTCGTTCTTGACGCCCCGCGATCGCAGCCCGTGCTCTGTGTAGGATGCAGTCGGATTGCAGCGCAGCGCCGAGGAATGTACCAGCATGGGCGATGTCTTTCCATAGTGCTTGGCACTTCGCGTATCCCCACCAGCCCATCCCAAAACAGAGGCCAGGCGAGTTGCCCTGATCAGGATTGTCCTGGTTGAGTGGTTCCTGGTTGGGTGGTTGCCTGGTTGAGTGGTTGCCTGTGGTTGAGCGGTTGCCTTGTTGAGTGGTTGCCTGGTGTCGTCATTATCGTCGTCGTCGTCGTCGTTGTTGTTGATGATGAACTCTCACTGTTGAATAATTATTATGGTTGATCCCCTCCCTCTGGGGCACGTTGTGTTTTTTCAATTGAAGTGCCCTTCCTGGGGCTCTCACCTAGTTTTTTATTAGGGAAAGTCTTGGGTCTCAGAATTTTGTTTGTGGCCCCTGGTTTACAACAACAACAACAGCATCAGCTCCCGCTTCATATTTCTTCCAAATTTATTGAAGAATCGCGCTCTCGCTGGGGACTTCCTCACAATTTGTACAGGAATCGCCCTCTCGCGTTGGACTTCCTCGCAATTCATTCAGACGTCGCGACCCCAACGCTCAGGAATCACGCTCTCGCTGTGGATTTCCTTACGGTTTGTTTGGGAATCGCGCTGTCGCTAAAGACTTCCTCGCGATGCATGCAGGACGCACGCTTCAGCAACCCGCCTGCTCGACCTGGCCGCCTGGGCCCGCCTTCCCGACCCGCCCATTAGGGTCTACCCGCCCGATCTGCCCGTCTGGTTCTGCCACGTGTTTCCTGCTCCTAGCCCCCCTCCTGCTATTCTCTCTCGTGCTCCATTCTCCTCCCTCCCCCTTGTCTCTTCCTTCCATCCGTCCTCTCTTCTCCTGCATTGAGGGCTGCACGAAATACAAGGTGGAGGTGAGAAAGGTATACCCCTAAGGTGAGTGCGATCGAAGACGAAGAGGGCGGGTATCGAGGGTATGGGATATACGTGTTGAAAGGCCCTCAACCAGATAGGAACGAACAGTCTTAAACTGATTGTTGCTGTTGTTGTCGCTGTTGATGTTGTTGTTGCTGCTGCTGGTGTTGTTGTTGTCGTCGTTGTTGTTGTGGTTGTGGTTGTTGTTGTTGCCGTCGTCGTCGTCGTCGTTGTTGTCGTTGTTGTTGTGGTTGTGGTTGTGGTTGTTGTTGTTGCTGCTGCTGCTGTTGTTGCTGTTGTTTTTGTTGAGTTCTCATTTCTCATTGTTGATCCTCCCCTGCCCTGTAACCGTTGAATTTTTCAATTCAATTTGCTTCTCCCTTGGGGTCGCACCCGGTTTTTTAACAAGGGGGAGAGCGAGGTGTCACCAGACTGCGCCCCTGGCCCCCCGTCTACAACAGCAGCGGCTCCCGCCCGATACTTCCTCACACTTTTCCCCAATCAGTGCCTGCACTGAAGGGGTCCTCGCGGAAGTGAAACGATTTGGCGAACGTGTCCCGCCGATTGTGGTCGCACGCTGGGTTCCCGGGTTGCCGTTCCAGGTTCCCGGGTTCCAGGGCTCCGGGTTCCGGACCGATTTCGGTGTGTGGCGAGGTTCCCAGGTTCCCGGGTTCTTGGTCCATCTTCTTATCGATCGGTCTCACCATCGATCTCATTACCCACCTCTCTATCGATCTCACCATCGATCTCACAACCGATCTCATTATCGATCTCACAAGCGATCTCACTAGAGATCACACGAGCGATCTCGTGATCGATCTCCCTGTCGATCTCATTGAATCGATTGCACTCTCGGTCTCACGATCGACCTTACAATCGTCCTCTATCGATTCCACTATTGATTTCATTATCGATCTCACAATCGATCTCGAGATCCATATGACTAATTTTCAAAATCATCCACTGATTGGGGTTCTCTCAGGTGCAATGTTCAGCGCAAGGTTTTTTCACCTCATCGGCCGGTCCCAGGATGCTTGTTCCCTGGGCGCTCGTTCACTTGGCTTCGACTAGGTTTCGTGGTCTTCGTGCCCGTTTCGCAGCACCCTCTTCTGCCGCCCCTCGTCGTCGATGCTCGTCGCCACGGTGGCTCTGACCTCTCGCCCCAGGCTTTAGCCTTCACCTGGGCCCACTGTCGCGGGCGGGAGCTCTCCTTGGTTGCTCCAGCCCTTCCCCGGGTGTCCGTGGCTCTGGCTCTGCGCTCGGGCTTCGTGTCATGGCGCCAACATCGCAGAGCGGATTTCGTTCGGCAAACACCAGGATGGGCCCGGAGTGTCCAGGAGAATCTCGTTCCGGATTTCGAAGTGAGTTGGGCCAGGAATGAAGACTGAACAACATCTCACATGAAACCCACTTGGTTTTTCGCTCGCCGTTTCGGGCTCTTGCGTGGACAGAAATCCACGCAGAAATCCGCTGCAGCACGTCTGCAGGGCCGGTGCAATGCCTCGTGTGGAGGGTTTCTCCGAAGGGCTTAGGCGACCCCTCCTCCTCCTCCTCCTCCTCCTCCTCCTCCTCCTCCTCCTCCTCCTCCTCCTCCTCCTCCCCCTCCCCCTCCTCCCCCTCCTCCTCCTCCTCCTCCTAGGCTCCGCCCCAGCGCTGGCCCCCCCTTCTCGCGGAGTCTCGTCCGAAGTGCACAGGCCGCGATGGGGGCTGCCGCACCCGCGGGGGCATGAGGGCTGCCAGAGTGCCGCCCCCCGCGCGGGGGGGCAGGCGGGCGCTCCCAGTGCTCTGGCTGCAGGCGCTGCTGCTGCTGGGAGGGGTGCGCCCAGGCGAGGGGCGCTTCACGTTCCTCTCGGTGTGGAACCCCCAGAACCTGCTGTCGCCCGCCCGCTTGGACGAAGTGTCGCGGGCACTGGCTGGCGTGGGAATTGTTGGCCTCCCAGGCACGTGTGTGCGCCAGTGGTGGAACGAACCTCACCACAAGGCGACGTCAGTGGCCCACCACGTGGTGCATTTTGGGTGGCAGCGCTCCAGGCTTGTCAACAAGAGCTGTGGATGCGCGCTGATGCGGGCCAAGAAGTACTTCGGGGTGAACGATATTCGACGGCTGGTCACCCCGCCTGTGGGCCTCCGTGGGCGAGGCGGACTGGCCTACATCGCCTCAGGTCCGCTGCTCCTCGCCGTGTTCGTGCTCTACTTCCCCCCGCGGCCAGCGGACAAGGGGGAGGCACCCATCTGGCGCGACACCTGCCGGGCGCTGGTGGCTTGGGCGCGGGACGAGCTCATTCGTGTACCACAGCGGTATACCCCTGTATTGCTCATGGACCTCAACTCGGGCCTGACCCAGCACTTCGACGAGGATCCCGTGGTCGGCCAGTTCGGTGCAGCGACCGAAAGCTTGGCGGGCAAGCTGGTCCATGAGTGGCTGGCGGGGGCACGTATGCAGGCGATCAACACCACGAAGCAGGTTGGCAACACTTACTTCGGCATAGGCGGAGTGTCCTCGCAGATCGACTACATTTGCGTGCCCCAGAGTGCGGGAGTATTAGTGGAATGGGCGAAGGCGTGGCACCGTACGGCGGAGGCTGTCCGAGCGTCCCCTGCGGTCCTAGACCACGTTCCCGTGGTCACCAAGATACGGATCGTGCCGCCCTTGAACCAGCTGCCGCTACGAGAGCGCTGGGACCGCCCGCGCTTGTCAGGAGCAGTCATGTCGGGTAGTGGACGAGAACAGTTCATGACCGACCTGCACGAGGCTTTTCTGGAGATCGGCCCATCGCTCGACGTGCTGGAGACGAGAGAAGCGACTACTGGCCACGCCACGCTGGTCATGGGCACTATCCGCAAGATCGGGCTGGCGCACTTCTCCCAGGCCACGGTGCGCCCAATGTACGAGAGGAAGCTGGACGAGAAGAAGTGGCAACTGCTCCGCGAGAGGCGTACCATCCTGGAGGAGGTAAAGGCCCAGGAGTTCGAGGCCATTCAGAGCTGCTCCCCTCCAGCGACCTTATCGACGGCTACGGGCCCTGCTGGTGGCCCCTCCTCGTCCCTACATTGCGCTGGATCTGTCGAATCACTCGTATCAGAACGCAACACGTGGAGCAGAGGCCCAGGTGTTCTTCCTCGACGTGGTGTTGAGGAGCCAGACCTGCCTCGCGAGAGGGTCGCCGAGCTGCGGACGCTCGGCAGCGCGATCAGGAGCTACACGAAGGCCCTCCAGCACTGGCGACGCCGCAGAGCCCACGAGCGCCAGAAGTTCATAGAGGACGAACTCAGACAAGCATGGAGAGGCCGTGACATGGCCCAGGTTCCTCGGCTTGCCCGCTCGCTGGCACGCACGGGCATCGGCGTGAAGAACCGCAACTACAGAGCACACGCCTCGTGCAACCCGACGTGCGACGAGTGGTCCACCTTCCTTGCGCAGGACCCGCTCCAGGGCGGCTTGGCAGCTACTCGCACGACCGTCCCTCTCTGCCACAACTTGAAGCCCGACAGGCTCATGGACCTGGGCAACACTTCGGACTGCGCCATCCCCGATACGGTGAACATTTCCGAGGAGGACGTTCGTGGGGGCCAGTCGGACTTCAAGATGACAATCAAGGCCCTTCGCCGCACGAAGATTGGCAAGTTTGCGCCGTCCTGGTCTGCTCCCTCGGAGATTTTCAAGATGATCGTGGACCCAGGATGGCTCAGCAGTCCAACCTTGTATGCCCGTCTGCCCTGGGGAGTGGGAGCTCGACGACCGCTGGTGATGGAAGAAGAACCCCGAGCGCCTGATCCCTATGCGCGCCTGCAGCTTCGCCACCTTGAGGCATTGGGAGAAGGACGTCGTCGCCTGTGCCGCCTTGTGCTGCACGTACGACGCATTGGACTGCTACCAGTGCAGGCGTCTCTTTCGTATGGATTTGCCCCAGATAAGCGAAATGGGAAGACAGGAGCTGCAGGCAGACGGCTGGTGCATGTCTTGTGCCCTTTCTGGGGAGCTGTAATGAGGGGATGACTTCTTCGTGGGGGCACCTTCCGACCGCCAGCGTGGGCGTTCGCGGCTCGGGGCAGGCGAAGGGAACATTTGATGATGGCGACGAGGGTCGTGGCGTGGAAGGGGCACCACTCAGGACAGTCCATGCTCCACAAGAGCTACGACGCCACGAACGCGTTCGGGTGCGGCCGCAAGGAGGACCTAGAGCGCTCCGTCAGGAACCGATTGGAGGAGGAGGAGGAGGAGATCAAGGACGAGGACCTCAACTACGTGACGGCGATCTCCCGTCAAAGACGTTTGGCGCTTACCGTGGTCATCCCAGCTGCAGACGGCGAGGTGGCCCTGAGGAGCGGATCAGGAGGGTTCATGGGGGACGCATCGGAGCCAGAGATTTTCATGAGTAACTACCACACCGCAGTGGCGAAGTGGGCCGAAGTGGAGGCGGCCCGATCTAACGGCGAGATGCTCATCAGGATGCAGAACTTGCCCGAGGTCGGCGCACGCCTGGGATGCTTTATGGACGACATCTTCAAGACCCAGCTTCTGTCGGAGCCCCAGTCAGCGGCGGAGGTGACCCGCCTCTCGCTGCGTAGCGACCAGGGGTTGGACCAGGCCCTAGCGGAGAGGGCCTACGGCCAGAACAGGGCCAAGCAGGACGTGGTGCCCGCTTTTCCCTCGAGGCAGCTGGTACGTCGTACGATCACGGAGCTGAATCGCAGCGGCTGCCGCAGCAGCTACGAGCTGAAGCACCTGGGAGCCTGGTTCAGAGCGGTGAACAGCAACAGCAACGAGCTCAAGGGACGGCTGGCGGCGATCACGAAAGGCTGGATGATGGTGCAGGGGTTCTGGTATTCGTCGTCGCCATTACGAGTCAAGCGATTGATGTTCATATCCCTGGTGAGCGGTGCGGCCCTCTCGGGCACAGTGGCATTTTGCTGGACGGCCGCGGAGACCAGGCAGTTGTGTGGTGCATTGGCGTGCAAGCTACGTTCTATGATGGGAGGCACGGCCAAGGCGGGACCATCGCATATCACGACGCTTACCACACGTGAGGTATATAGGCATTGGAATCTCGTGCCCTTTGCATTGGAAGCAACAGTCCAAATGCTGAAGGCATGACAGGCGATTGCGAGAGCGCCTCGGAACCATGCCCACTTGCTGGCCATCTTTTACGGCGGGATGCAGTGGGAGGCCACCAGCGCCTACCGCTGCCCACCGACGCTGCTAGAGGACGGCCGCTTCAACGACACGACGCTGATCCACCCTTGGGCGCGTCAGCTCCGACAGGACTTGGAGGTGATGTGCAGCGCACCTGAGGCGGAGTCATTCGCAGAGGTGTGGGGGTTTGGCTCTGTGCTGGACCTGCTGTGGGACGAGGAGGTGAACTACCTCTTCACCTCTTTTGTTCCGCGGTGCCTGCGCAGCGCCTTTGCTGCAGTACAGTGGGCACCGCCACCTTGCCTGGCGGACACTGTGCCAGCCGCCCAGGACGATCAGCTGACTTGGGAAAAAGGAGAAGCGGACGTCTTTGTTTGCACGATCAGAGCCAACCCAGATGACCCGATATGTGGACAGAGCTTTCGCGCGCGTTCAGCGCTCGTGGCGCATGTATGTCAGTCTCGACAACAAGGGCATGGGGGACAGAGTTTATTCAATATTCTAACGCCTAGCAATGCATGCGTCAACTGCAACACGGTCTTTCAGAACAGGGGGGAGGCGGTGAGGCATCTGGCACGGTCATGGCACGCTGGGAGATGTATCAAGCACAACACGGCGTACCCGTACACGCACCACCTACCTACTACGCACGTGTGCGCGTTGTGCCAGTCCTCGTTCGCGACCTACGAGAACCTCCGTAGCCACTTGTGCTCGCACCTGCCGCCGACGCAGGAGGGCAGATCCATCTCAGTTGTCACGCCGAGACCTGTGCCGTCCAGACCAAGGCCGAGGGTGAAAAGCCTCGCAGCGCCCGCTTCAGGACCACGTCTGAGAGGGAGTGAGATCCGCACAGTCGAGCGCTTGTTTGTCAGCAGCACCACTCTCTTACCTAATGGGAGTGGAGAAGTCGGGGAGGTGGCGCCCACGCAAGGGGGGCTCCTTGGCTCTGTCGCCGACTGGTGGGCAGGCGTCCAACGGCGGCGACGAGAATCAGCAGCGCAAGGGAGCTCGAGCCGAGGGAGGAGCACGACTCCAACGTGGCGGCGGAGGCAACGAGGGCTCGGGGACCAAGCCGAAGGTCAGGCGTGGCGGTCGGAGGCGGGCCGAGCAGAAGGACCGCAAGCTGAACACCGAGGATGCTGGCCTCCGAGAGATCCTGCTACTGCTGAGCATGCAAGTGGCCCAGCTCACCCAGAAATCGCGGGCGCTATGGGGGATCGCCACCAGGACTATCTTGATAGAGGAAAAGAGCAGCGTGGTGAAGGCCATGCAGCAGGAGTCGAAGGATTTCTCGGACCACGCGGCGAACCTCCGCACGCAGATAGGCAAGTACAAGGAGGACGCCAAGAAGGCGAGCGGCTCCGACGCGGGGGCCGAGAAGGAGGCGGCGACGAAGGCCGAGGAGATCCAGAAGGAGCTGCGCGCGCTGGGGCCCCCCGCCCCAGCCCTCTTCGCGGCGCTCGTCGAGAGCCTGGCGGCCGAGGAGGTTGGGGCGGTCAACCGCAGGGCGCTGGAGGCGATGAAGCAGGTGTTCGTAGAGGCCCCGCCCACGGACGTCCGCCTGTGCAGGTTGGAGAGCTGCAAGGACGAGGACATGATCAAGATCGTGCTGGCCCTCGACGACAAAGCCAAGGAGGGGGTGATCGCGGCCTCGCTGCACGCGATGGGTGCCCAGGTGACGAGTGGCATGGCCCCCTCGGGGTACATGGAGGACGAGATCAGCGCCTGGATCGACGCGCTGAAGGCGGCTTGAGCCCTGCAGGTGAGCCTGTCGAGCCTGTCGGAGGCAGCTTCGCCGCTCTGCGCCCAGACGTTGGAGGGGTCGTGTCATTGTCGTCCGAGTCGGGGGAGGAGGAGGGGGATATGTAGAGTCTTGTCCCCCCTACAGCCCCCGCGGCTTCGCCGTGCTCGCGGTGTTCTGACGGAATATCGCGGGGGCAGTGGGGGGGACGAAGACGCCGTTCCTCTTTGGACCGACTAGAGTCGGCAACCGTCGAGGCCACTGACCGTCTCGGTGGGTTAGTATCTCTGGACCGATGTGCACGCACTGCCTCGGAGCCATCGAGCTTCGGGATGCGCAGCCGTGCGCACCTGGCATAGCAGCAGCACCAGCACGGTGCGGACGGCGGACATGTGAATCTTTCTAGCAGTTTTACCCTGTGACGGGTTGCTCAGCTCGCGTGCAGCGTGTGGTCAGTCACCTCGTGCACGAGTGCTGTGTGTATATGCGTTAGATGTCTCTTGCGAGCGTTGGAGTACTTCGTAATATTGTCCAGCAGCCGCGTGCAAGCAAGCAAGCTCCTCCTCCTCCTCCTTCTCCTCCTCCTCCTCCTCCTCCTCCTCCTCTTCGCGTCGCCTTGCTCTCCCGGCGCCCGGCCGCTGCTGGGCGTCACGCTTGGCGTGCGGCCGCCGCTCCGCGCGCGCCCTCCTGCCTCGGAAGTCGGGCGCGCCCCCCCGCAGGAGGAGTGTTCAGAAATAGTAGAACTACACCAGAAATAGTAGAACTGCCCATTCGCCTCCTGCCCACTCGCCTCCCTCCTCCCTGTCCCCTCCCCGCCCCCCCCACCCTCTTCAGACGGAGTGTTGCTGCTTACCCTCGCGCGCCATTTGCGCAAAGCTTGCAAGTGGTTGCCGGCCGAGGCCCAGTGACATTTTCCACGTATGCATGTGCACATTTCCTGCCGATGCGCCGTCTGGGCGCGGCTCTTTGTTGTTGTTGTTGTTGTTGTTGTTGTTGTTGTTGTTGTTGTTGTTGTTGTTGTTGTTGTTGTTGTTGTTGTAGAGAGAGACTCACCACCCACCAAACCACCCCAACCCAACCCGAAGGCCCAAATTTGTCCTCGATTTCCAGTGTGGGGGGGGGGTCGGGGAACACTGAAGAAACACATGGAATTCGTACCCCCCCCAACCCGAAATTCGGGTCAAATTCGGGTCTTCGGGTTGGGTTGGGTTGGGGTCAGAAATGGTAGAACTACTTGGATGACCGTGGGAGTTATTAAGTGGATAAGGGGGGTTACGCGTGGATGCCAAGGTGGGTTATCTCTTGCCCAACCTGGCTTATAAGTGGGTTACAGGCGCCCAGAATGGCTTAGGGGGTTAGACAACTCCGCTAAGTGGGCGGAGCCCACTTAGCTTGGATCGTTAACCCCCCTAAGCTACTTCAGGCACTTACAACCCACTTATAAGCCAGGTTGGGCCAGATATAACCCACCTTGGTATCCACTTGTAGCCCCCTATCCACTTAATAACCCCCACGGTCATCCCAGTACACCAGAGAGAAACCTCAATCAGTGGATGGGTTGAAATGGAATCGGTAAGGAGATCGATAAGGAGATCGACCGGGAACCCGGGACCCCGGAACCCGCCGAAATCGGCCCGGAACCAAGGACCAGGAGCCCGGGAACCCAGAACCGGGAACCCGGGAACCCAGCCAGCCACCCAAATCGGCGGGACACTGTCGCCAAATCTTTTAATTTCAGCTAGGACCCCTTCAGTGCAAACACTGATTAGGGAAAACTAGCCTGGGCAAGATTTTTTGACCATTTC